AGAACGACCAGACACAGGAACAGTTTCTTCCCTCAGGCAATCCATCTCATGAACACTTGACAATAACTGTGGAACACACAACACTATTTATACACTCATACACTTATTTATCTAACACACACACTTAGTCTACACCTCAAATGTGCACATAATATACCTGTACATACAAAACTGTCTATTGTAATATACCTGCACATACAATTGTCAATTTATATATTGTTATTTCTTATTTACTTGTTCTATTTTTTATTTTTTTGTTCTTCTTTTATTATCTGTGTTTTTGTACTGTCGCTGTCATTCTGTTGCACTGCGGAAGCTTCTGTCATGAAAACAAATTCCTCGTATGTGAAAACATACCTGGCAATAAAGCTAATTCTGATTCTGATACAATATAATATTTCTTATTAATTTTTTAAAGTTTTTCCAAGTAGGTTGATTTCGTATGTACTAAATTCATATTATAATTTGTGACTTTACTTCTGTTCAGTAAGCTTGGTTTTACTTGGGCTAGTATTTATTTATTTTTTTTGTGATATTGAAATTGGTAACAAGAATTATGAAATTTCAGTGCATCAAAAAATTTTGATAGCATAAAAATCCTATGTATCATATACAGTATATATATATATATATATATATATATATCATTATTGTGATGGGGGGCCCGGCAGTAAGTCATAGCCTCAGGGCCCAGTGAGGTCTTAATGCGGCCCTGGCTATATGGGCGCTCAGTTTTTACAAAACAGACTCTTCTCCGCTCTTCAAACACGCACACACAATAAAAAAAACATTTGCATTTATAGACATAGTGTTTCTTGAGTAAAGAAACCGCTGTACTTATTCAAACATCAGTTCTTTATTTACCCTTGCACTGGGAACGAGCAGAGATCTGTCTCCAGACTGCACGAGGCGCTTCATTCTGAATGGAGGCGGGTGGAGTTGTGAGGTTTTGCTGATAGTTTGAGGATCCAATGGCATTACGAGGTTTACTCACAAGCTCTTTTGAATGCATTTCATTGGTTAATATTTGTAAAACCCACAAACGGATGTAAAAATGACCAATAGCATTGATTTATTAAAAGAATAACAATAATGATGAAATATAATAGAGATAGAAAGTTTTGATAATTTTCCAGGGCACACCTGACAACCTGTCACGTTGGGAAACACTGCCCTAAAATCCTGCATATGCAATGCGATTGATGTTGATATTGTTCCAAACCCATATGTGGTTGTTCTTTTCCATGGATCACCAAACAGTTTCACTACAACAACAGTTCAGTGACCGCAAGCACCACAACAGTAGTCCACATGACTCATGCGCTATCTTCCAAAATGTCTGAAGTCATATGATAGATTTTGTTTGAGGAACAGACAAATTCAAATCACTCCCTGAAAATCTTTGAAATCTCATTTGTGTTCACAGTGAGCTTGACGGATCTGGTCACTATGAGCTGTTGTTGCATGGAACAATGCAGAAAAAAATATGAGGGTGAGTAAACAATGACAGAAGTTTCATTTTTGGGTGAACTATCGCTTAAATAAACGGTCTCGATGTGTATAATTCATCAGGACGTGTTATTTGAAAGGAAAACATTGTCTTGATAAGCGTTCATCAAAACAATGGTTTCCATCTGTCTCTGAAATAAATTTTTCTGCTGACATACATGAGTCAAACAGGTGTTGAGAATACAATAATAAACTACACCACTGTTCAAAAGTTTGGGGTCACAGAAATAAATGACATTTTACAATATATTCAAACAGAAAACAGTTATGTTAAATTATAATTAATTATTATAATTAAATTGAATTTTTTATAATTCTTTCATGAACATTTAAATCTTACCGACCCTTTGATTTTGAATGGTAGCATATATTATTGTAATTTTTTTTAATATTTAATATAGAAAAAAATAACATAAACCACCAACACGTAATCTACACACGAATGAAATCCTGCTCTTCATTATTTCCCACTGAACAGAAATATGTCACATCGTGAAAGTTAAATGTGTTGTGAAATCAATTCATCTTGTTTTTATTAAATATGGCATCACTCCATCATGCAACATCTGATTTTGAAACGCTCTGGGCTGACACTTATTTTTGCACCACTAGCAACACAAAACAGAACAGCCTTTATTGTTTGTCCATTTCCATTGAAATGAACGGGCTTGCTAAAGGATATTTTTCTCCAGGTATTTTTAACCTTTCTTAAACTAACAGATTGCAGTTGAATTTGGAAGCGAGAGGAAGCAGGAACCTACTGTCTGTTTGGTGGCTCTTCTTTGGGTTTTGGTGTAAGGACTGTACTTGGGTTTGGCTGGTTTCCCTGCAGCTCTGTCTTTATGGCGTCTGCTGCTGATATGCTGACGATACAAACACAGAATTTGACGCAGATGTGATGAGCTGACAGACACAGTTTACAGATTCTATAACAGCGTTTAATGCTGTTATGAACTTTTCATACCAAATTAAAATACAATTTGCACTGCAGGTTATTTACTTCAAGCATTTATAGTAAAACACACACACACACACGACAAATGAGGTTCGGCACTCACCTGCTTGAGCTGCGTCTCTGAATTGACGTGCACGTCGCAGATTTCACAGTGGAATGTCTTGTTCTGCAGGCCCGTGTCTGCTTTAGTGGGTGCAGTCAGCTTGCTCTTCAGTCCAGGCCTGGGGAAGGATTTGATGGAGCCGATCCCACTCCGAGCCTCGAGCATGGTTTTGTGTTTGGTGCCTGAAGAACAAAACATGGCAGGTTCAAATCATTTATCACCTTAATGATACGCCTTTGCCAGAGAAAACAAAACCATGAGGGCTGGACGGGGTCTTTAGCGCTGATGCATCACAGTTCAAAGTTAACTATTCTAAGTAGTTTATATGTGACCCTGGACCACAAAAGCAGTCTTAAGTCGCTGGGGTATATTTGTAGCAATAGCCAAATTTCGAAAAATTGACCCTTATGACTGGTTTTGTGGTCCAGGGTCACATATGTATTAGTACTAAGTATACACTAACCGTCAAAAGAGACACGTGACTGAGTTTGTTTCTTGTTGATCTTAAACTAAAGGTTTTTGCTTAAATACTTGAAAACTAATTTTGAAGACAAACATAAATGTGAAACTTGTGTACAAAATCACATCTGTTTTACAAAAAAATAAAAAATGATATAGATCAGCTGGATCGAATGGTGAAGGAAAACAGCTTCTGTGACCCGCAGCTCTGGTTTCAGTATTTTTATGATTCATTTTCTCCACAAGCATATTTTTTAAAATTCTTTCAAAAGCTCCAAACCATGAACCAAATCAAACAGCTTCACATCACAACATTTATCTGAAGCAAAAAGTGTTTCAGAACAGACAATCGGTAAAAATGTTCTCTTCTGCTCACCAAGGCTGCATTTATTTGACCAAAACACAGTAAAATCAGTAATAATGTTAAATATTTTTACAATTTAAAATAAATGTTTTTTATTTGAAAATATTTTAAAATGTAATTTATTCCTGTGATGTGCAGCTTGAATTTTCAGCATTATTACTCCAGTCTTCAGTGTCACATGATCTTTCAGAAATCATTCTAATATGCTGATTTGCTGCTCAAGAAACATTTCTGATTATTATCAACGTTGAAAACTTTATAATGTTAATTGATATAAATATAAAGTACTGCTTTATATTTTTGTGATTTTCTGGATTCTCCAATGAATAGAAAATTCAAAAGACCAGCATTTAATTGAAATAGAAATATTTTGTAACATTATGTCTTTACTGTCATTTTTAATCAATTTAATGCATCCTTGCAGAATAAAAGCATTTAATTTCTTGAAAAAAAAACTGATGACAAACGTTTGAACAATAGTGTTGCTTAATTATCATGTTAATCAATTCATTACATTTATATAGCGCTTTTCTAGGCACTCAAAGCGCTTTACATTGTCAGGGGGTATCTCCTCATCCACCACCAGTGTGCAGCATCCACCTGGATGATGCGACGGCAGCCATAGTGCGCCAGAACGCCCACCACACACCAGCTTATTGGTGGAGAGGACACAGAGTGATGAAGCCAATCAGTAGATATGGGGATTGTTAGGAGGCCATGATGATCAGAGGCCAATGGGCAAATTTGGCCAGGATGCCGAGGTCACACCTCTACTCTTTTCGAAAGACATCCTGGGATTTTTAATGACCACAGAGAGTCAGGACCTCGGTTTAACGTCTCACCCGAAGGACGGTGCTTGTTGACAGTATAGTGTCCCCGTCACTATACTGGGGCGTTAGGACCCACACAGACCACAGGGTGAGCACCCCCTGCTGGCCTCACTAACACCTCTTCCAGCAGCAACCTAGTTTTCCCAGGAGGTCTCCCATCCAGGTACTGACCAGGCTCAGCCTTGCTTAGCTTCAGTGGGCAACCAGTCTTGGGCTACAGGGTGATATGGCTGCCGGCCATAACCTAAATAATGTTAATGTAACCTAAATAGCCTCAAACATGTCCCCACAACCCAACTTGACATATATCATCATAACCGAGGTGCAGTATCTTGCTGTAGTACTTGAGTATTTTAGTAGTACTTAGATTTTTTACATTTGCCTTTTTAAACTCTTTGACTCATAGATTCTAGTAAAGAAGCTGTGCATTACAGTAATTGAAATTCACTGTAAAATGACAAATTCACTGTAATCTTGAGTGACTTCTAGCTTTTATAAAACTGCAGCAACAACAATATGATAAAAGGTACCTATGGTACTTCCGTTCTGTTGTCCTGCATGTGTCTGAATAAGACCTGATCCTGCT